TAGCAAAAAATATTTTCTCTTGTACGTTTATTTTCTTTGCTTATTAGTATAATCATAGCAATTGACTCTATCTCCAACTATTTCTCAGATAAAATGATACTTTTTAACATGTGAGTTTCAAACTATTATTTGACATAAGTATTGATGGAAGTGAAACTTAACTTGCTTGACATCTTTTCCACCTATACTGACTCCAGCTTCCACGATAAATGGGTGGCCTTCAAAAACTTGAGCACTGTGCAGTAATGACAGAGAAAACTAACTTTTAACCATTATGAATTATCTATTACCAGTAAACCAAGCAGATAAACAACATTAAAAATCTCTCATGGGCCTCTAACATAGTGACATACAGTTACCCCTTAGGACTCCCCATATATAAAGTTAGATAAAAAGTAGACCTATGACCCGCAGCCACAAGGATAAAAAGGTTAATTAAGAGACATAGAAGTTCCAAGAAGCAATGATCTGAGGTAAGAAAAAAAACTAGCAAAACTTTATTAATGAACCACAACCTGCCTGAATAAGTTGCAACCATGTCTGGGTTCAGCTCTTTTATAATTCCTAGCCGGAGATTGTATTCACCAGCAGGGCTAAGACACTGAAAATAGGTATGAAGGGCATACCAAATGACAAAGTAAGGAATATAGAATAAAAATAATGGAAAAAAACATAATGAAATATATAGAAAAGGGGCTTATAACAAAGACTCCATAACTTACATGACCACTAGGATCATCAAACTTGGCTTGACGAAACAACTGATGAATGCGTACTACTTGTTGTGAAGTTAGAGACTTCACAGCCATTTTTGAGCTGAAGTCTGGACCCATTTCTCCTGGAAAAAGTATAGTGCAATAGTTAATAGATTTAGCATCTCTAATACGAATACCGAACCATGTGAACTATTTTCCTTTACCTATCAATCTTTCAGCATGGGGTTTACTGATATTTACAAATTCATGCTGAAGAAACTGCAAAAGGTTCTGCTTCGAAGTTTCTGTAATAAGTCGTTTAATTAGCAACAAATCAACAGAGGACGGATGATGCTTTGTCTCCAGGGGAATGGGTGGCATCACATCTGTTCTGCGGGCAAACCTTACTGTAACATTCTTGCTGCAGAAGAGAATAGCTAGTATAAGATGATTGAGCATTGTCATTCTTGGGGAATGCAGGGAGGAAGTAAAGAGACATATATATATACATACTCAGGTGCATCCGAGACAAATTTAAATTGAAACTGGGCATAAGGGGTGATAACAGCCATTTGTCGCATGTAATGCAATATTTTTGACTGCAAATGCAAACAAAGAGCTTATATCAGTTAAACATAACTGCCATTGGTCTATAGAGTATAGGTATATGATAAATCAATAAGCATAACAGCATCGTATTGTGGAAAGTGGAAATGCTCAATAATATCTAGATATCGCAGTGAATTAAAAAGATGCAGCAAATAAGTGTTGCATACACGGTAAGTAGTCCAATTGCCTTCAATGACAACTTGAATTTCAGCTCCATGCCAGAATTCCTTGTTCTCCCGTTTCTCATGCAAATGTACATGAGGAATATTCCTGAAAATTAAAGCATTCTTTATTTGGAGGAGTAGAAATATCAGTTCATTTATAATACTTATGAATGTACTTCAAGAAAACCATACTTATGAATGTCAATATCCAGCCTGCAAAATGTAATATAAGTTTGGTTTTCCATTGACGAAGAGATCTCAATAGGAAGCCCTGTACTCATTTTAGACCATATCAGTGCCTGCATATATGAACAACAGATCAATACGGCCAACAGAAACTGGTATATAATTCAACCTCAAGCAAAAAGTTGGCAACTGTTACAAGTTAGTTATCACTTATCAAAGTTACAAAAAAACAAAGAGAAAGGGGCATATATAAACTAGTGCACGTCGGCAGTTGCCACTACCATCTTTGCACCAAGACCAAACTTCCCCCGTGTCTGCTTCAAGCCATATTTTGTCCCAGACAGAACTGCATGAATAGACAAGTTTACAGAAAATGAGGTCTTTAGTTCCTATATCAACAAAAAAACAACTGTAGAAATGTTGATGCATGGATAACTAAAGTAGCAAGTAACTGACCTCGGCCAAACATATTTGGGATGTCATCATGGGGCATTCCTTTTCCGTTATCCTGCAATTAGTAACAAGCATGAGATTGCCTACAAACTAGAATTATATACAAAAAATGAGAATGAGACTGAAATCCACAGAAAATGATTGAACACTTTCAAATTGTATTTCAAAATCAGACAAACAGCTATGCTGACTGCATTCAAACACTTAGAAAGATGTTGCACATCAGTACCGAACCACAAAATAAGAATGGGGCAGAAACCAAACACACCTTGCATGTAACTCTGTAAAAAGATGCCTCACCTCGACCCTTGATACCCTTCGAAGCTGGAGTCTCTTTCACTTTCTTTCCAAGGGTAGCATTCTTAGCTTGTATTTCTTGAGTACGAGCCTCTTTAGCTAATCGTTTCTGCATGGTAAGATTATAATGTGAGAGTGAGACAGAACCCTATACAGAGAGCCTTCAATGTTTATATGGACCAAGATCATACTTTCACATTCGATGCCATAACAAGTTAACAATTTATACCACTCAACCATAGAGTTTGACCCAGACTACTTATCTCAGTATGACACAACCAATCTAACAAAATGAAATTAAACACACCTCACGAGCCTTCTCAGTTTCATAATCATCATACAATGCAGCATCCACACGCTCACGGTCAACAAGACCAATCATAGAATTAAACTTGCTTTTCTTTATCTCCTCACTGCAGCAACCAAATTCCACAAAATAAAACATTTATAAATACACAAAAAATGTTACCTCTCTACATGTGCTCAGTAATTTGTTCACCATTCATCATACTTCTAAATTCCAAGTGAACACTTACATAGTTACTTCAACCACTGGAAGCTTGGATATGGATTCCGCCGAATCAAGCGCGTTCTCCACAAGCTCTCTAACAGTAGTGTACAGAGATTTTCCAGGCTGAAATAAAATCCACACAATTCCAGACAAAATCATCTTAAAAATTGACACAAAATTCAGAAATACCAAATCAAACACATAATCATTGTATAATAATGCTTACATTATCAAATCCTGCGATGTTCTTGTTCTCAGCGAAGAATTCAGCTGGAGATTCTACAAATTAAAAAAAAAAACAATTAAACAAAAATGACAGTGAAACATTTAGATAGCAACATCGATGGATCGAGGATGAGAGAGAGAGAGAGAGACTTTGCTTGAGAACAGTTTCTTTGGGTTTTCGAGCGGTTTTGGAGTTGGATTTCTTCCCTTGAATTGGACTTTCACTGCTATCTCTTTCATCCATGGAAGTTTGATTTGAAACAAAAATCTTCAATAACGAGGAAGCAGAGTGTGAGAGCGATGAACTCCGATTCAGCAAATACTCTCGGGTTCGAAACTGCTACCTACTACGGCTTGAAACTTTTGCCTTATTTGGGTTCGATCTAGTGTTGTCATCAGCATTGTGAATCATGCTGTTGCTTTTTGTCTAACGACGATGAACAACGGATTTGTATAATCAACGGTTGATATTTTATGTAGTGTGATTAATAGTTCTGGAGTGGTGATATTGAATGGATAAGATTCATTTATGTTCGTACGTGTGGACTATGTATAATGACTTGAATGTTTTTGTATGTAAAATTACAAAAGAAAAGGGTAAAAGTTACAATTCCCTCAACAACTTCCAATATGTCTTGTTTTGCAACCTTCAAAACACCAAATGAGGCTAATAAATTAGCAGAATATTTTCTTTCTCTAAATATGTGAGTGATCTAATGAGAAGAAAGCAATGCCTCCACTTATTTGTTAACTTCCAAGGCATTCTACTTCTACTGGTAATTCAAACCATAATCTTCTACAACTCCTATTTCAATAGCAGACATTGCAATGGAAACTTCTGCATAAATATAATATTGAATGCCATAAAGCTCAGCAAAACAACATAGCATTGTTGTACTTCTATCTCTGAAGATATCACCTTCTCCACATACTAGCATAGAGTTTATACAAAATACGTCATTATTTTAATATTTTAAGGATTAAAGTAAATATAAAATTTATATAGCAATTTAAACATAATATGTTATTTGCAATGACAAAATGCCAAATTAATTTACCAGTATATATTTGTGTGTAGAGGTTGGGTGTGTGCTTTTGGTGAATTTTATTGTATTGTAACAACTAAGAAAATGAATATTAATTTCCACAACATTAGACGAAGAAGAGGATGATAATAACCATTAACAAATTAAGATTACTTTATAGTATGAGGAATAATAGTGTAAAACTTTTGTAGTTTGATAATTGGTTGGGTAATTAGGATGTCTATGTGATACTTTAAGTTACTTTTGAACAATTTCAAAGGAGAAAGAAAGAGAAAAACTTGCAACGAACCCAAGATAATATGAGAAATGTGAGAGTTTGTATCTAATTTTCCTACTTGTAAGTTTTACAAATCAATATCATATAAACTAAAAAATTAGCAAAAACAACAAATAATAGCAGAAGGCTGAAAACTAAGTGACATCTTGATAAGATGTGTCAATAGAATGAAATTAACATCGTAACCATGATTTTTAAGGCACTTGTAAGCATTAAATGTTACAAGTTTAGTACCACGAAGTAGTTATTGATCGAATAGCTAAAATTGAATGAATGACACTTTCTTTTCTCATATATTGTGCCTGTTAGAGCTAATTTAAGTCATCCCCACAAATTTTAACACTGACATAATATTTCATAATATGAAATTCGTTCTATCCTGATGCCAGAAGTTAATTAAATGGATCAACTTTAATTTATAAAAGTTGATGAAACTCAAATATGATGAAACTCTTGGATGATAAAAATTGATAAGAAAGGATCCTGTTCATCCCCACAAGTTTTGGACGATAAAAATTGATGAAACTCAAATATGAATTCCAACATTTTATTATATACGCTGGAGCCCACATGCGAGTTCTATCGGGTAAAGCCAATGATTGGAGGCATCGAGGGCGCAACACCCTCGACCTATTCTCAAACTTTAAATAGGTAAGACGGTGTGGCTGCTTCGTTGAGCTACGCCACAGAATCGAGAGCTCCAAGTGGGCCATTTTTGGTAAGCAAAATTGGCGATGCAGGATGAACCAGAAGCTAGGTTACGGTGCCCAACTGCGTGCTAACCTAGATCCCACAAAGGGTGTTGATCGATTAAGACAGCAAGACGGTGGTCATGGAAGTCAAAATCCGCTAAAGAGTGTGTAACAACTCACCTACCGAATTAAGTAGCCCCAAAAATGGATGGCGCTAAAGCGCGCGACCTATACCCGATCGTCGGGGCAAGGGCCAGGCCCCAATGAGTAGGAGGGCGCGGCGTAAAAATCATTAAAAACAATAAGATAACAATGACTCATAAAATTGTTAAGGTTTCATCTCAAAACCAATTGGCAATAAGAGGAGTAACCCACTAATTATTTAAATCATTTCCGATACAATAAGATAAGCGATGTAAAACTTACTTCTCAATAATAATAACATAAACATAAGATATAGATAAATCAAATAAAATAAAAATAATTAAATCATAGATAAAATAATACTCAATAAATCCAAATATCTTCCAACACAAAATATCATTAGTTCAAATTTGGGCATGACATAAGTCAACCCATAAAGTCTAAATTTCAATTTTCAATTCAAACATTTGCCACAACATTGAAAATGAAAAATATTACTAGTCACATCCAATAATAAAATCCGCAAATAATGTATATATATATAAAAAACTAAAGGCAATGAAGGCGATGGTACTCAGGAAAATATGTTACTTGTAGGAATGTCAGAAAAGCTTTGAGTAAGAAGAGTGAACAATTTCAACAATGTTGAAGTTATTTCTTCTTACCCTTCATGTTCTTCTTCGAATTATTTCCACCAGGAGCAGGTAAATCATTCCTTTCTTCAGGGACATTGTCCTCTAATGTCATATCTTCTCCATTAAACCTGGATGCTGTTCTTTCTTCACTCACATTCTGATCAACATGGTTATTATTAACCATACAAACATTTTCATAGACAGTGTTGAAAGGCCATGAAGTTTCCTGGGCACGATGAACATTATTCATTCTATTTGCCATGTCCTTGAGATTTATTTTACGGTTAAACCACCAAGGGGGTAGATTATTACTAGCTTCCTTCTGCTTGGTTGACTTAGAGCATTCTCCCTTTTCAAATTTTTTCACATTTTTGCCACTGAAATCAATAAAGCTTAGCTTATAAATAATTTCTATATGTGTTGAACCTATATGAAGTTGCATTAAGGAATGGAGATGCAAGAAAATAGTTATGTGATTTATTATATAAGTACCTTTTTGAGGGACCAATCTTCAGCTTTTTACTGCAATGACTAGAATCAAAGGCACTTTGAAGCATTTCAGCTGCAGCAACAGCATCGACGGGTGTCGTTGAATCATTGCTTTTATCCTTCATCCTTTTTGCATTTTTTCTTCTCGAAGTTCCAACATCAGTTTTCTTACCACGCTTCTGAAGATTAATATTAGCATTGGAATTTGGCTGATCAAGGTTCTTAGACTTTTCCTTCATGCGCTTGCCCTTTTTCTCAATGTTGATTGACTTTCCATTATTTTCAGGCAATGCATTTTCTTCTCTTATGATAATTCCACTCTCCTTTTGGGTGGGTTGCTCAAATAGATTCGTTACATTTCCCACATCATCTAGAGTCTTTTCATATTGCATATTTTTCAACAACTCAATAAATTCCATGGGTATGTCATCAGTTGCACCCTGATTAGAGTTTTCTGTCATCGTGCCTGCTCCAACAGTTTCAGCCTCTTTCTCTGCCCTATTAATTTCCTGCAAAAATGAAGAAGATTATCTTACTGGAAATGTGTTTTCTATGAAATGGTTATTGTTCAATACTCTAAATAATAAGACATTCACAGAAGTTATCAACAAACAAATACACTACATGTCAATGCATAAAAAATCTGTGAAAATCACACTGTGCATAAATGCTTTGTGGTCTACATGATTAATTCTTATTGTTTGAAGAATTAGACCAATATGCAAAGTATCATTATATGCAACTATTTGAGTATTAATTTCTGGTTCAAGAAATCAAAATGGTTCTTTATGTAAACATTTCAAGAAGCTGTGAATTCCATGCATGTTACTGCTGAAAGGTACACTTAGGACTATATTCCTTTCATTAAGAAAAAGAATTTGAAAATGCGATTTTTATTAGTACTTACTTCAATGAGAACTTCTTTTCCTTTTCCACAATTAACATCTGCATTATGACTACTGGAAGCTCCAAAAATAGTGGTTTCACTATCTTTCAATAAAAGATGAGGGTTTGCAGTGACCTCTTGCAAACACAACCATCTATTTGTTTGACGGGTGCTATCTTTGTTGCAAAACTCTTCAAGTTCATTATGCGGAATTGTATCAATTGTTTTATCATCTCCCTCTAGGTTTTGAACTTCATTTTCATTCCTTGTAGGTCTCTTACTCTCTTTTTTATTAGATGCACGCTTCCTTTTTCTACCTCGACCTCTTTTTCTTGAACTCGTGCCTTCTTGAACATCAGCACCATCTTCAGGTAAATTTGGCAACGAATCTGGATTTGTAGCCACATTAGTAGGAGGTTGAGGTTCTAGAGCTAATAAATCACTGATTAGGCGCATCTTTGGAGGTTTACAGGAAGACGAATTTGTGGAATCTGTTGGATTATGATCCAAATCATCATTTTCGGCAATATTTTCTGTATTGCCTGTAGGCACAACATGACTAGAAACATTTGAATCTAGAGGAAGGTGTCCTTCTTCATGCTCATCATTGTTAAGATTGCTAGCAAGTGCCTCAACATCGTTAACTTCATCACTTTCACGACCTGTCTCAAAAATAGTTCTCAATTTGACACTTCAAAATCAAAAACATTATTACTCTAAAGTATATATATTAGTATATATATATATATGTGTGTATTACTAATTGTGTGGACTTTGATAAATTCTATGACATTGAACGTATACGTACCTCTCTTTTTTGCATGCATGTCTTCTTCAACATCAACCTTATCAGATAAAACTGGTGGTGTTTGTGAATCTGCAAACATGTTAGTAGGAGGAGGATGGGATGCTGATTCATGCACTTCAGTGGGTTGGTTGAATCCTTGTTCTTGATTTTCACTTAATGAGTTACTAACTAAACTCTTCTTTTGATGTCCCTTTTCAGACAAGCTTGGGGACTTTGATAGTTGATGATCCATAATATCATCATTGACAACGTTGTGTGTACTGTTTGTAGGCACAGCATCACTAAAAACAGTTGAATCCTGAGGAAGATGCCTCATTGGATGCTCATTGATGAGACTTGTAGCAGGTGGCTCAACATCTGAAAATTCCACAATTCCATTACATAACTAAAAAATCTCATTTTAACTCTTTGAAAACAAGACATTACTACAATAAAGTAATTATGATATATATTGCTACAAGTATATGTTTGTGACATATTCTATCACATTGAACCTACCACTTTCTTTTGGCTGTACTTCTTCTTCAATGTGTGGAGAAACTTCAGGTGGTGGAATAGATGATACTTGAGAATTAAGATTGTTCTCCAAGCCGGTCTCAAAGTCTGAAGATCAGAAAACAATGAAAATCTATACTATATACTATAAAATAGCAAACAATATATTGTTTTACTGATTAAATTAAAACTTCAATATTTTTTTCCTTGTTCCATTACCTATGGGTAAGTCATCATTATCATTGCTTAGATCAATAGGTAAATTCAAATCCAGGCCTCTCCTGACCAAATTATCATCTGGTACTATTGGAGCTTGTTCAATGGCTGAACTAATATCATTTGTGCCTTCAGTGGTGGTTTCGTTAAGGCAATTTTCACATGTCCACCATTTGAACTTTGTAACATTCATTGGTGGGGATGATTGTTCTTCCTTAGACATATTTGTAGGAAATGACCAACATTTCCTCCAGTCAGCTTTCCGCATATCAGAAACATATTCCCTGAATTAACCATAAAGATTTGTACTTGTTACTGTTTTTAAATAATTAAATTGTGTGCAATGATAAAAATTTTACATCAATGTCTCATTTTGTAAGAATAATGTGTATAGATGATAGACACTAAGTCAAGGAAGACAAACTTTAGAACTAAATGTTATGCTCCTCTCCTCCTCCAACACCAACAGAAAGTTATTTAAATAAAACTCTAAAAAAACAGATAAAACTATATAATTCTAATACTACAATATAATCTCCAAAAATCTATTGGTAATAAGAACAACAATACTTACCTTAATGAAAAATGTTTGCATTTTCTATCTCTGATATCTAAGGGGTCGTTTAAATTTATAGAGCTTGACACGATATTAATGGAAGATCCCATGAAATCGACAGCAATAATCACCTAAGCAGGCCTGTGTTTCTGCAAAGTATAAACAATTAGAACTCATAAAATATACATATTATAAATATAATCTGGAAATAAATAATTTCACCAATAAAATTCATCTACAATAAATCAAAAGATTTTGAAAGGTACAAACACATCTTAGGAAAACATGTATATATATGTGTGTGTGTGGGGGAGACCTCTTTTATAAACTTTGTAGTCACCTATTAGGACTTTATGTGAAACATGTAACAAATGGAATACAATCTAAATTAAGTAAAGAGTCACAATTTTATGCATGCATATTAATTACATAAAATAACATCTACCATAACATTCTTTAAAAATTGTTTGAATTAACTAAATTCAATAAATGACACAAAAGCTTGATGTAAATAATTGAAGATTTTAATTATTAAAATACTGCAAATGTGGAAGATAGAACAATTGAACAAGAAGAAAGAACAACTTAATATAAAATTAGGGTATGTAACCCTAAAGTTAGTAGAAGATAATAGTTATGGTTTAATTCTCTAGATTTAGATTTTAGATATGGATAATTTTAAATAATAAACATTATATCATATTGAAGTGTTTTAATAATTACAATATTAGTTGCTTTCGACATCATTGATACATGATAAACAATATAAAACTTGTGTTTGATGTGTTTTTTTATTTTAGGATTTTTGTTTAAGATGTGTACTATATACATAAACGTTTAGAAATGGAATTATCAGATGCAAAGTTTTTTTGTGGAGAAGGAATAATTGTGCATATATTATAGTTTGAACGCAAGTACCTACATTTTATGTCCTACAATTTTACTGATTGAGAAAGAAACTGAAAATAACTTCATTCAGGTAAATATGCATAACTCGCTTGTTTAAAATTTGTATTTCTACATACAATAATTTAATTTGGTGCAA